TGTCGATTGTAACTCCCAGATACTTCACAGATTCAACTCTAGTTAGGGGAACCGTATTTATGACAGACGAATCACAAGGATAAACAGATCGAGAAAGGGAGAAAGTGCATTCGAAGCACTTGGATAAATTAAGAGACAGTCCAGAACGAACGGAAAATTCATGAATATGCAATAGATTATTCGAGAAATGTAAAAGGTCCTCAGGCACAGAAATGGCTTGGCAAAGGGCTACGTCATCAGCATATTTAAATAACTGGGCTGGAGAACTCGCAGACAGATCACTGATGTAGGTGGAAAACAAGAACGGAGACAACACGGCACCCTGTAGTACTCCCGAATTGTTCACGAGTGGTTTAGACGTTTTCCTACCGAGCCGAGTCTGCTGAGTTCTGTTTGTAAAGTAGTCGACGAGCCACGCTAGTAGGTGCTTGGGACAGCCAAATGATTCCAGTTTACGAAGAAGGACGGAACGTGGAACAGAGTCAAAAGCTGATGAGAAATCTAAGAAAACACATCTTACAGACTTCGCAGATGCGTCTAAGGATTTGGTAACGTGATGAACGAGGGAGGCAACAGCATCCAAAGTGGACCTGTTTGATTTATAAGCGAACTGGAGATGGTCTTCAGGGGTACAGAAGGAAGCAGAAAGACGTTTGAGAATGGCACGTTCAGCCAATTTAAGACCGCATGACGTTAGAGCAATGGGACGGAAACGTTTGGAAAGGGTGCTGGATCTGCACGGTTTTGGAATGGGAATGATCGTGACGGGTCTCCAGCAATCGGGAATTGAATATGAACTGAGTGACGTGTTGAGGATAGAAGTAAAAGCATCCGTTAGAGCCAGGGCACCATGCTTTAGAAGGGATGAAGATAAACCGTCAGGACCAATACCAGTGGATGATTTAGTTGTGCGAAGGAGTTTAAATATTTGTTCTCTCGAAAACGGGATTATGTCAGCTGCGTCTTTCGGAATCCATGACACAGGAGGATCACTACTCGGGTGCACAAATGCTTGATTTATACTCTCAACGTCTACAGTACATTCATCGGGTTTAGACTTCGCTGCACATAAGATCCGAATTCCTTTCCATAAGTGTCTCCTGTTTTGGCTGCATAGGAGTTGATTCCCATAGGTTGTATCAATACGCTTGATTTCTTTCTTTATCAAGTTGGAAATGTAGCTGACCACTGATGAATTCCGGGATTTATAGAAATGTTCCTTGTGTCTGCTAAATGTTTTGTGTTTCGGAGATGCAATGCGACCATCGGAGAGAAATAGGGTTTCCACCGGGCAACAGATGTCATTTTGCCATTTTGCAGACGTGCCAACATTGTAGTAGAACGAGGGACAGACAACCACATCGTTGTTAAGTTTATGCAAGTGTTTACTGTTAACCCAAGCAATCGATTTAACCTTCGTGTGTTCTTAGGGAATGAACTGAGATTGCGGTACAACACTATGCGATGATTTTTACGTCAGGCTTGGTTATTTCACTAGTCGTTTCTGAACATCGGCGGTGGTGTTGGTGGTGGTGTTGGTGTTGGTGGTGGTGGTGGTGATTATGGGTGTTCAGAATCGAAAAGCGACAGCTTCTGTCATGGTTACAAGACGATTATTGATATCTTTCCAGAGTCTTCCAGCAGTGATGTAATTCAAACGGAAAGATGGATGCCCATGAATCACTGGAGCGTAAATATTCACAAAGGATGTGATTCAAATTTTCCCCAGTCCTCCTAGTTCCTTGATTTGGTTTCATAGAATGGTAATCTTTAATGCGATTAGACCGACGTTTGTAGGTTCAATGATTATACATTTGTAGTACTGAAGACATAGTCAGATCACATTCATAGCTCGTCTTTGTTTTATTTTGTTTTATTACGTGCATTCTTTGTTCAATGGCTATTACCAATTATATTATTCATTTTTTATTTTCACGTGTTTCGTTCCTTTTATTATATTTTTAAGCAGGTTTTTATCAATCATCATAGGAGATATTGATCTTGTTTTTATTTTGCCCTAACGGGGATCCACAGCACTGGTGGTGTTCTGTGACGGTCGGTATATCGGTGCGGTGCTTGATCGAAACGGGTTAAGACCGGCTCGATTCTACGCGACCAGTGACGATATGGTCTACTTGGCAAGTGAAGTCGGTGTGATCGACGTGCCAGACAATGTCCAGATTGTGCAGAAGGGGAGATTGAAAGCCGGACGACTGGTGATTGTGGACACGGAAGTTGGAGAGCTGTTGGATGATGAAAAGTTGAAACACAAAATCGCCACATCCAATCCGTACGGGGAATGGCTAACAAACGGGGTAAGTTGAAGTATATAGTTTAAAAAAGTATTTTCGACAAAAACCACCACTATTGTCACAAACATTATTGCACATCGCTTATATATATATATATATATATATATATATATGTATACATAGGACCTGTGTGCAAGTGCGTTGTCATGATGCACCAAGCTCCTTGCGCTCGAGTCAATGGACGAAGCCTGACAACAGCTTCGAGCCGTTTGGGTTGACAGTGGGTAGCGTACCAGTCTCCGGTGGCTATGTTTTGCTTTACTAGCGTTATAATATCCGCATGACCGGTTTTGGCCATGAACACAGTCGCCAGCTACTTTGCCACACTGCGCTCTCGTCGGACTTTCCGAAGCGGTGCCCCACCAACCGTCACCCACAGAGCCGATTGGTGTTTGGTCTCTAGGTCTAGACTGTACACCCAGATATCGTCTCCTCTGATGATTTCCCAAACTGCACTGGAAAGTCCATCATCAAAACTGGCAAGCATGTTGCTGCACAAATTTACTCCACCTGCTTTCTGTTACTCACTGGACTTATGGGGTACCTAGCATGCGCGAATCTTTCTGAGGCCGAGCTTCCCATGTAGGATGGTGCTACTTTAAACTACAT